AAGAAGAGAAAGGACAAATCTCTGTTGAAACCTCTCTGACACATGCACGTTGTTGGCTTTTGATCACATTACTGAAAAATAAACTTTTGTTTCCCTTCTAATTTACAGCTCTCGGAGAAAGATAAACCCTATGTAGATATCCAGGGACTGACAGCCTCCACCATGGAAATCCTGCTAGACTTTGTATATACAGAAACTGTTCACGTGACAGTAGAAAATGTCCAAGAATTGCTCCCAGCGGCGTGTCTGCTTCAGCTGAAAGGTAATAGCCAAGTATCAGCACAAACTGCACAACTGCTGCTGTTCAGAGGTTTGGGTTGTCTGACCTTCTGTAAATGGAAGACGGACTGTGGGAGGCATGATATTTTGAAGTACTTATGTCAAACTTCTGTTGTCTTGTTCGCTGTGGTCTCAGTGGTAGAGGAACTGCCTTGGGTGGAAAAAAAGATGATAAAACAGGTTATTGTTCCATGCTTTGGGCTACTGTATTTCTGCATGAGAATTGCCAGGAGGAACTGTGGGCTGTATAGCACTTAGATGTTACAGCTCAGTCAACTTATAATAATAAGCAAATCGTTGATGTCATTTGACCTGCCATCGTAGTGTGTCTAGGTCGTAACAAATGGGTTGATATCGTTGCATGTGCACCTATGGAGCTATCCCAGGCAATTATCCCAAATCCCAGGCAACTATTGAAAAGACATTGAAGAAAAGCTAGAAATCTGGTAGTTCTACCCACTAGCATATACATTTTTTTGTTTATAATCCATGAAGCTGAGTACTACTCACGTTTGAGTCTTTTCCTAGTACTAGATTTGTTTAATTTTTGTGTTTAAATAGAATAGCCAGAGATCAAAACAGCCCAAACACATGGTCTACTGCTTAGTGTCTTCACGTCCCTTCAAAGAAATATTTGCATGTGTGTGTTTCCGTAGTATTTTTAAGCTTGTTGTCTGAGTTGGATTTTCATTATTGTTTAGAACTTTCTCTTCTGAAGCCCTTTCGAAAGCAGTGGATTGGTAGTAAGCGTACAGTGCTCATTCACCCCTCCAATTTTCCATAGGTGTGAAACAAGCTTGCTGTGAGTTTCTAGAAAGCCAGCTGGATCCATCAAATTGTTTGGGCATTCGGGATTTTGCTGAGACACACAATTGTGTTGATCTAATGCAAGCTGCAGAGGTCTTCAGCCAGAAACATTTTCCAGAGGTGGTTCAGCATGAAGAGTTTATCCTCTTAAATCAAGAAGAGGTTGAAAAGCTCATCAAGTGTGATGAAATTCAGGTAAAACCTGAAAAGTATCGTTACTGTGCAAAGCATTGAAGTAAAACATTGAAACCAGTCAGAAATGAGTGGTGGACATCTCATATGCTTCCTGAATTTGAAATTCATTTTCCAAGAAGCTTCTAAATTTTTAGCCATGTAATCTGAAGTTGATCAGTAACATGTAGCTAATATGTAAGAATTTGTTGTCACACAACTGTTTCTTGCAAGTAAGGCAATCGCAGCTAGTTACCTCTGCAGAGTTCTTGTTCCCTTGTCTCCTTTCCCTGGAGGAACTTTCAGAGGTTACAAAAACAAGTTGTCTCAAGGCCTATATTTCAGAAGTACCCCCAAGACTTTAACTTCTGTTTGTAGACCTTGCATGCTACTCAGCAGCACAAGGAATGCGTGTGTCATCCCAGGTATCCTCTGCTTTTACAAGCAGCAGAATGCATGATGCTGCAGGGTAGTCTGAATCTTCAGGGAGTTGCATGCAGATTTTGTTCCCCTAAGGTTGGTTTCTGGAGGATTTGCTATTTGGCTGGAACCCATCAAATACTTTTTTCCAAATTTTCCATAACTATGTATGTTCTTGAGAACTGAAATAAATTGAACATTGTTTGATAATTGAGAGGGGACTTGGATATTTTTATAGAGATGGACTTTGTCAAGAGTTGATGTTTGCTTCTGTTCTGAAAGTGATGGAAGCGATCACTATTCAGAGTTCACAGTAACATGAACTCTTAGAAGCAAACCAATGTAAGTGGTGTCTCTGGAATTCCTGAGAAGCCAATACAGGGGTAGCCAGAGGAAAATTATTGATGTATGGCTTGAAAGTCTGCCTTGAAAGTGGCCTTCAGCCAAGCTGACATCCTCTCGTTAGTAAGTCTGCTTGACAAAGAGCACGCAAGATAGCAGTGAAAGACCCTGGCACAGGCTGAGATCAGCAGCGGAGAAAGGCTGAGTGTGTTTGGTGTTTAACAGGCCGCAGCTTTAATGCTGTGAGGCTTTGAGCTTAGGTGGGTTGTGGGCAGTACTGGCACAAGGCTTCTGGACAGTGAAGAGGAAATAATGAGGAAGTTGAGAACGAGCCAGCCAAACTAATCAGATGATCCACACAGGCAAAGTAAAATTCATTGTGGATTGGCAGGACTGATTCAGGCCTTGCAGGCACGCAGTGAGGTGTGCATTCGTTGTAGTACCTTAGGAAGGTGAATGAAGCAAATCTGGCTGTTGCTGTGCCAGGGCAGAGGTGATGCGCTGCACCAGAGCGTGCAGAGGGAGCACCCTCGGTGAATCCCCTGGCTGCTGGAGAAGTAGAATGGCAGGTCCTCACTGTGACGCTGTGTTTGGTGTTACTCATCGTTTATCAGAAAACAGAAATGATATCATGAACAGCGAAACTGTTAAATATATCAGAGGACAGTCAGTTTGGGAGGGGATAAAACCATGTGGGATTCTTGCATTTGAGGAGGAGGTGGGGAAAATTGGAAACAATAAAGTACTCTGCTCTCCTTTTGTGAGCTCTAATTGTCCTTTCCCTGTAATTCAAATAGAAAGAGGCCGTTTCAAATTACACTGTAACAAATATAAATCAGTGACGTGGAAGAATTGCCTTACATAATTAACCTGTGTGGCTCCCTGCTTCAGAACATTCTGCAACAGACAGCTTCAAACTGAACTTCAAAGCGTACCAGTCATGTGTCAGTGGGAAGGCTCCATCCTCTTATTACAGTATCTCCCTTTATCTTCAAATTTAATAACAGTTAACAGACATGATAATAAATTCATGTCTGATTTGCTTTTACGTTGGATGGTCTGAAGATGTGCAAAAAGAAAACCAAGTCTAAATAATATAGAGCTTATTACAATTCTTTCGCTTTTGGTAATCACAGATGTCCAAAGCACCCGAGGTTCTCTAAAAGTATCAAATTTAGATGATTTAGTCAGTGTAATCTCTGGAAGCGGTGTAAGCACCAGCATGTGCTGGTCCTAAATGGAGAGAGAAATAAACTAGTCAGAACAGTAACATTTGCTCCCTGGGGTTCTCCTCTCTGAAATCCAGTTGTATATAGTTTCTTAAATGTGGATTGAAATAAAAAACCCCTTAATGTACCTGGGATGGCTCGGGTGTTAAAGGGGCGGTGCGCAGTCACGGGGCTGCAGGGGGTTAAGCGAGACACTGCTCCATAAAAAGGAAACATGATTCTGATCATCTTTGTGATGGTACTTTGCATTTTGCAGGACCCGTAAGTCCTGCTCCGCTGAGAAGTCGGGGGAGCTGCCCTGCCAGTTACAGCCTGTCACTGGGCTCTCTCAAAAATGGTGGCTCCCAGCTTCTGGCTCTGCTGTGTACCATAAAGCTCGCTTTTCTGGCACTCGTACTGCCTGTCGTCCATCTCAGCTGTAGGG